ACAAAAACACTGTAAAGGTAACTTTCACTCTGTTTTACTATGAAGTTTTAAGTGTAAAAAAGTGGTTTCACGAGAACAAGCTTGTCTCACATGTAAAACTTGTTTTCTGTGAAAGTTCAGAATTTTTTACCTTCAAAATATTTTGTTGTGAAGTTTCAAGTGTTACTTTGTGGTCTCACATGTGTGTGTGTGTGTGTATATATATATATATTGTTCATATATATAGGGATATATCAAATGCAAACCAAAGTATTTGTACAAACTATACAAACTTCATTTAACCAATCATAATTTTTTTTAATTATAAGGGTTGATTAGTCATTTTTATTATGTAGAAGCGTTAATTATGAACATCATCCTCTTCATTATGTTAACTTTAGAAAACAAATTTTGTCCAAATAAGAAATACATAATTTCGTTTTTACATAACAAAAATATATAAAACAATTTTATCAAGAAAAAAATTATGTGAAACAGTTTCATTAAATTAAACAATAAAATTGATGTTTGTATCAAATGGTTTATACAAATGACGTGTTTTTCATTTGATCCCTTTCCTATATGTTTTGGCATCTTTTTAACATATAGAAAAAAAATTATTTAATTATTTAGTGTTTAATTTATATGGAATGTGAATTTGTGGAAATTACAACATTTTATGTGCTACTACATTTCAACAAGGACTAGAATGTGAAGTTTTCATACTTGAAGGGTACACAAGTGAAACCCACCAACTTCAAACCTGGAGTGCTTTAAATACCGACCAACCTGGTCAATTCAACCCGAAAAAACTTTAAAAAAATCTCAATTCGATGTAATTCGATGCATAGTTGATACAAAATTAAACCAAACTACATCTATTTGATTGGAACTGGGTTGAGGCTATTTGAACCTAACACAACCCAATGAACTGAATGCCTTTTTTATACTACGGATTTAATATGGTTGTGAAGTCTTTGATTAATATATGTACATTAGATGTTAGAATAATTATCAAGTTCTAACAAAATAATTAATTATTATCTTTATAAGAAAATTATATTATTAAACCAAATATAAATTACTTCGTTATTGAACCTAATTAAGTTATAAAAAAATTGAATTAAAAAATTACATTAAAAATGAGAAATTTTAAATAATTAATTTGATACTAAGACCATATTATAACATCATCGTTTTTTTCAAAATCATATAAAATCATATTATAACATCGACTGAAATAAATAATAAAATGAAATATTAAAATCAAGATGTATCTCGTTAAGTTATGCGAGTACCTTTCTAGTTCTTATAAAGGGATGTCATAGCACTCCCCTTAAGAAAAATATGTACTTTATATATCCAAATAAACTCTAATTTTTTGTTATTTTAATTTATGTCTTTAAATAATTTCAAATATATCTATAAAAAGATTAAAACAACATAAAAAGAACCAACGATTTATACAAAACTATGCCTTCTTCATTTCAATTTGTACAAGATGGTACAACATCAATAGCGATGGATACAACTTACGAACGGCTGTCATAACCAAGAGTCCAACTAAAAGGGGTGCAATTTGCACTACCGTAAAAGATGAGGGGTTGAAACTAAGTAATTTACAAAAAAGAGGGGCTAAAAGTTCAAAAGTCAATTCAGCAATAAGACACTCGATGGACACCACGATCTCTCAGAATTCCGGAGTAGAGAGCCATCCTATTTGCTGGAATACCCTCGTAATCTCTAGATATTTTCTTTTCACCCCCTCCATCTTTCGAAGTTGACGAAAGAGTCCTGTTTTGATAAAGATTCTTACTTTGTAGTCTCCTCCGAAACTCTTCTCCATTCCCACTTGGTTCCATCACATCCTTTGCAAAGTGTACTTTCTTGTTCTTTTTCTCTCTCTTCTTCCCATCTACAAAATAAAAAAATAAAACGGTTTTAGAGAGAGAAGAAAGTCAATGGGTAAGTTTGACCAAATCAAAATTCAAGAAAACCTTCAAGAAAGATGTAGAAGAAAAGGAACCTGAAGAGATGCAGGGTCTTGGTCCTCTTGGATGGTCGATGATGGAGAATCGGGCGGCAACGGAGACGGCGGTGGTGGTGGTGGTGGAAGGTTGTTTCTGGAGGTGGAAGGCAAGAAGGAGCACGGTGCCTGAGACGGCAGCCATGGCGGTGGCTAACACCATCCCATTTGAAGCCAAGATTGAGGACATGATAGTCTTTCCCCCCCTCCCTCTTCTTTGGGCTAATTCTTGGAAACTTAGAAGATTTAAGAAATGGGTATGAAGAAAAATTCAAGATTGTTTGGTGGGTATCAATAAAAATTCAAGATTGTTTGGTGGGAATGAGAGAAAAAGATGAAGACATGATCAAGATTCAAGAAAGTTGTAGTATGAATGTGTGTGTAAGTGTGTGTGTGTGTGTGTGTTTGTGTGTGTGAAATAGGGGATGGATAGTTCAAACAAAAGGGGAAATTTTATATTGTTGGGTTGGTTTGGTTCTTGAAAATGGGGGTTGAACCTTTCTTTGAACAAGTGAAGAAAAAGCATTGAATGATTGGTTTAAATAGGATCCCTTTTTAAAGAAGATAAAAAAGTGATTAATTCATGATTTTTTATTCAAAAAGCAATTAAAATATAATTTTAACACTTCAATTATTTGATTTCAAAATTTCGTTACTTAAATTACAAATAACACAGTTACGTCGGTCGATGGTATTCTTAATTTTGATACTAATCCTCAAACTCCTTTGCAGTCGTTTAATATACAAATTAACGTTAACTTGTCTCTAACATGAAAATCGGCCAAAAACTTTTATGCGTTGCTTATATTGGATTCTAACATATTGTATCAGATTTATTTCGAATCAAAATAGATGCATCCCCCCCCCCCTCGTTTGGTCCACCAGTAACGTAACTCGTGCCAAACGATAAAAACATGTTAACCATGCACAAAAAATCCAGTTTCGAATATACCAATTGCTACTAATAATTGTAGTCACAAGTCGTTTGATTTTATTATAAGATGTAGAGGGGTGTGTTATGGAAGTTTTTAGAAAGTTGAAGGTGTTTAGTGAAATAATTAAAAGTTTGGTCGCTCAACGCATGCCATCGTAAAGAAGTTTTCAGTTGTTGTCATCCTTTGGCTTCTTTCTATCTCTTCACATGCCTAGAAATTTCCATTTATCTTTATTTAATAAAATAAAATAATATTTTATACTAAAAATATAATATTTAATTAGTAAATATAACAATTTTACGGTTCTATATATCAATTCATATATCGTAATTATTTTTAAATACTAGAATAATACTCGTGTAATATATCAAGACATATTTTTATTTTAATGTTTCGTTTTATTTTTTATTCATGTCGATATAATACGATTTTATGTAGTTTTGAAAAAAAAGCGTTTCTGTTTTTGAATAAAATATAAATTTGAAAATATCATATAAAATTTGTAAAAAATATATCAATATTAGTATCAAATTAACTATTAAAAAGTTCTTGTTTGTATATTTCTTAATTCAAATTTTTTATTATAATTTAATTTAATGTAGCGAAGTAACTTCATTTAGATTTAATAATATTTTTTTATAAAGATAATAATTAAGTAATGTGTTAAAACTTAATAATTATCGTAATTATATTTTAGATTTTTTATATTTTAAAATGAGATGTTTATCTTCTATTTGATTATGTTTATCAGCAGTTAGTTACATGAATTTAAACATAGAGCTTTAATAAGTTGTACTCTTATACACAATTTACTTGCAATCTTGAATTTTAAGTAATATGCATCAAAAAACAATATTTTATGCATAAAAATGATTTTTTAACAGTTTTTGTCAAATGCTTTATAATATAGTATAGATAATAAACTAAAAATAAACTAATTAATAAAATCTATTTTGATTTATTAATAATTCAAAAGACCACCATACAAGCAATAACAACCACATAATATATCTTTTAGGCCTTTTTATAAATTATATATGAATTAATGTTGTAATGATAATACATAGATAAGGAAATTTGGTTCGTCACAAAGCTTACTATATTTAGCAAGATATGATTAAAAATATACAGTAAAAATTATAAGCTTAAATTCCCATCAGCGTGTTGCTTAATAAATCAATAAGATACCATCAACAGGCGAATAATAAAATACCCCTCTTAAAAATGATTTATAGGTTACTCTAGAAAACTTAACATGTGGTTGATTTCCTTAGAAATTTCGATTTTTTTTTTGTCAAACGATATATAATTGTACTTCGAATCTCTTGTCGTAAATAGTCTAAAAAAGGTGTGTATTTTAGAGTTTTCAAACTTTCTAAACTTAGAAGGAGTCAATTGGAAGATTCCAAACATATTTCAAACATTGACTGCTATTTCTGAAAGTAGTTGATTACAAAAGTCTTTACTTGACATTTACAAAGTATTGTGATGTATATAGTCAGATATCTTAAAAATATGTGCACGTTTTATCTCTACGGGAAAAAGCGTTATAAAATTTACTTTCTGATAATCTGAATCGGTATTAACGCGTGAGAAATTGTGTTTCTTGATCCATCTTGGTATGGGATAATATTAATTGAAGGACATAAATAGGTAGACATGATATATATATATATATATATATATATATATATATAAAAGCATAATAATGTTAACAAGTATTTTATCAATATCTGTATTTCTTTTCTACCTTTTTGTGGCTACTTCTTAAAATTTCCAAAATTGTTCTCGAGTATTTGCTATTGATCATGTTTGTTGTTGCTTCGACTCAACCATTTTCCTGTCGAGATTTCTCTTACATGTCAAATGAATCTGTTGTTTCTTTTGTCGTGCTGTTAAATATTAGTCTCAACCACAAGGGTGGTGCCTGATTGGTTTGAGCTTTGCTCCAAAGGTCAAAAGTATTTAGATGTTTCAAATTCAAATCCAAGGAGGAATAAAAATCCCCTTGTGGCCACGTAAGTTCAAATGCGGTGACTCCGAGCTATCCGCAAAACAGATGGTCGTCCTGGAATTAGTCAGCTCGCATAGCGGGTTGGATATCCAAGTTAATCAAAAAAAAGATATTAGTTCTTTTTATTTGGTTATTTTTGGTCTTTCAAGCAGATCGTTTTCGCTTGTTTCCTTTCCAACACGATGCTTCATTTGTTATGTTCAATGTTTTTGGTATGGCAGATGTAACATCATTCGATGGAGTCAATGTTGTATGGTGGTATCGAGTTAGTAGCAACAATGGTCAATCATATCAAAGCTTCATCTACCGTACAGTATCCAAATTATTGACAGTCACCAACTTTTTAAAAGATTAAGGGTTCAAAAATCAAGCATATCAAAGATTAAAAATATATATATGTAATTATTTGTCGTATAAAAATATTATATACTTAAAAAAAAGATAATGGTCAATCATAACCGTCAATAATACATTTGAGTGTTTAGATATTTAATTTTAGAAAACACAATTTCTTTGTTCATAAATAGTTTACAATTATAACGAGTGAGGCCCAATATATCTTAAAAGACTATCATCCATTTTGTATGCTTATCTATGATGGGCCTGGCCCATATTTATTTAATTTGGTATGAACTTTGAGATTTCTCTTAGTTATGACGATGCATATGGTGAAATAGGTGATAAGTTAACTGGTGACAAACAATCTAACTGGTGACTGATAAATTAACTGATAACTGATAAGATAGTTGATACACTAAATATATTTGGCAAAATCTAGCTGATAAGCTATTTCAAAAATGTAAATGGCTAAAAGGGACATATTTAAAAATTAATAAACTTTAACATTAGGGTTTGGGTTTGGGTTTTGGATTTGTATAAGCAAATATAAATTTTAGAAAATATCTACATTAAGGAGTTGTTTACCTAAATGTTTGTCCGGTAAGTGCTTACTGTTAGGAGTCAACACTATAATTTATTTTATTGGGTAAGGTTGTAGTACATCAAAACGTATTCCATGCAACAATTTTCCTAGTAAACGCTTACCCGGGTAAGAGTCGTCACCCTCACTTACCAGGTAAGACTCTTCATCCTTGTCCTCATTCTTACCGGGTAAGATTCTTGGCGCTTGTCATGTTCATCCGATGAGAAAAATGATCTGGTAAGTACTTACCGGTTATACGTTTAGTAAACGGCCCCTAAATGATGATTTTAAATAACCATTACATATTATATAAATAAAAACAAAGTTGGTCATATATCTTAGTTAATTAATAATTTCTCAAAAAAAATATTATTAAAGTATGTATCAAGGTTTTATTATTTATGAAACAAAAGAAATATATAATTTCATCTTTTATGTAAGAGTAAATTACAGATTTGGACCCTTTGGTTATATCAAAATTTGGATTGGGTCCTCAAATGAATTGGTTACAGATATCGTCATTGTGGTTTCAATTTTATTGCAGATTGAGTCCCTCTACCAAACTCTGGTTATTTGAAGTTGTTAAACCGAGAGGCATTTGTGTCAATTTGAGAAAAACCGTCACCTAATATTTTTAGTATACATTTCTCTCTGATTTGATAATAAAGCTCACGAATCAAGAAACCTTTCCATTTATGTGATTACATCTAGGACCGCAACGGAATCCATCCTCTTCCTCTCTCTCTCCTCAAGAATGACTTCCATTTTTTCTGTCTTTTCTCCGAAAGTTTATCCCGTGTAACAAAATTTTGGCCTATTTCATTGTTTTGCACACAAAGTTGTTTGTAAATTAGAACACAGGTCCGTAAATGAAAACACAAGTTAAAGAAAAGTAAGAACATAGGTCTATAATACGGGTTCATGACTAAAATAACCCCCTAAAATTTAAACGATTATACTTTTAACCCTAAGATTTAAAACTCTTACAAACTGACCCTACGTTACGCACCGTGCACCACATGGTGTTTACAGGGGCTTTAATGTAATTATTTAAGAAGATTGATCAATTTGGGGACTCACAATTTAACCCCCTGTTACGCACCGTGCACCACACGTTGCGTATAGGGATCATTTTGCAATAAAGAAAGTTTGGTAAACTGAGGGTGACAAGGATTGACAAGTGCATTCATGTGGGGCCCACCCTTACGCACCGGCCTGTGCGCGGTTCGTAAGGACCCCACCTCCATTTTTTTTAAATTACTTTTGTTCCTTCCCGATATGCACCATTCAACTTATTAATTTTTCCTCCTCAACCCCCTATATATATCAGGTATAAATAAATATGTGATATATACGTTTAATCATGTTTTTACAAAAAAAAATATCTTCTCCAACTTCTCAAGGATCAATGTTTGTGATTGAGAAAGTTAGAATGCGTGTTTTTGGTAGAGGTTCGTGGCAGTTAGTCAACAGCGTGGTAGATTATATTCCAGAAATGCAAAACGTTGTTGTATTATTGCCGATACACTTAACATTTTCAGGTTTGATCAATTATTTAGCTAGAAAATTAAACTTACCTGATTTTCAAAATCGTTTTAAGTTAATATATAAAATCTATGTCATC